AAATATATTGTAAAAGATAAAATAGTCGATAAAACTATTATTAAAACACAAACCATATTTAGTTACTAGGTTCATTCATAGGTTGCGCCGAAGAAACTCGCGCCAGTTGAGCAAGATTAGTGTTATATGGAGTCCGGTTATCGCCGGGATGTCGGATTTTTGGCTCCGCAAAGTATAGGAACCGTGTTCCCAGAGTGCCGTGTTAACGGAGGGTTGACTGTACTAAATAAACTTTCACATAAAAATTACAAAGCAATACTTCAAACCATTGGAATGCTAAAATGCAATCAATCTAAAAATTTAGCAAATATTACAAAACGCGACTGATATGTAGATAATGCGATGTAGATTAATCCAGTGGTTTCCAACCTTTTTTGCACCGCGCCTCCTTGCTCTAATGAAAAAAAAATTGTTGCGCCCCCCTTAATTTTTTCATTGCAATTTAATTTTATAAATAATCAACTGATATTTAATTTTTAATTAATTTAGCTTAATTTTTTCAATTTAATTTAATTTTGTAAATAGTCAACTGATATTATCAGACTACAAGTTAATATGCAATATTATATAAAAATGCATAAAAACTAATTATTTTTGTTTATTTTTCAATATCGTTCCAAAAATGTTGGGTTATTTTTGATAATAGTATTCTGGAAACAGATTGTACTCCCTTAGAAAAGCCTGAAGGTAACCGCCCCACAGGTTGGAAACAGCTGGATTATCTTTTATCAACATATTATTCTTTTCAGACAAATTGCTTTTTATGCATCGAAATTCCTATAAAAGGTATAAATTTGTTTGAAGTCATAATTTGATCTAATCTATAGACTTATAATGAATATGCATTTGTAAATCCAATTGACAAATCAATTTACCATATCTTGATTTTGTTCAAAAAGTTTTACTTGTAGCATGTAGTTTTAATAAAAAAAATGTAAAACATGGTGAGTATTTTAATATTCAAACAATTTAATAACCTAGAACAAAAATTTAGAAAACCTATAATTATTACTTATCTTTTCAAACTATAATTTGGATTGTTTAGAAAAATAAGATAAGCAAAGCATTTGCATTTGTAATTATTCAATTGACTAAATCAATTTTAACACATCTTGATTTTGCTCAACAAAGTTTTACTTGTAGCATGTAGTTTTAATAATAAAAAAAGTTAAAAATGGTGAGTATTTTAATATTTAAACAATCAATAACCTAGACAAAAATTTTAAAAACCTAAAATTATTACTTGTTTTTTTCAATCTATAATTAGGATTGTTTAGAAAAAATAAAGATAAGCAAAGATGATTATTTTCCAAAATCGAATATTGTGCAATTCAGATAAATGTTATTACCTGTTCTATTCGATGTCGTGTCTGCAAATATGGATTGTACCTTGCTCTAATAGCTCTCATACTTGTTGGCTCATAGCCAGTATAACTTTGAGTAGAATATTCAAAATCACTGTCTGGACCACCAGGACAATAGACACATATGTTACCTGTCATATTAATATGAGGACAACGATGTGGCTTGCACATCACAGCTACAACTGCAATCTACAAAAGAAAATAAAATTTCTCCAAAATATGAACATTGAAAATCTTCAATCAGAATATTTGATTGGAATGCTTCGTACTTAATATAAAAGCATCAAAAAGTTTAAGATTTTTAAGTTCCATCACAGCGGTGATGTTCAAAGAGCAAGAAATTGGGAAAATAGGGATAAAAGGTCACAAAAGACTATTTGGCTAGTTTTAGTAACGTTTCCACGATTGTATAACATGAAGATAGCTGTGATCCTAAACCTGTCGTATGATGTTAAGTGTCATTGTCAGTCTTGTCGCAGTAATCAGTTCGAACGCCTTCCATAGTTTATTTTGAAGATGATGTTCATGTTTTTTGGGTAAATACTTATCGATGTATGTAATTATTTCAATTAAAACCACTGCTAGTTATTTCAATCAATTAAAAAAAGATTTACTCCTAACTTCTACTTCATGTATGCAAGTACTAATACTAATTTGCTAAAAACAGAGAAAAAGATTCGACAGTGAAAAGAAGAAGCTTGCATTTGTTGCAAAACCTAGTTTCTCCTTCTGAGCTTTTTTAAAAATGCACATTTCAGAATGTCCTTACCACTGTTAATTATATTAAATTGAAAAAAAATCGTACCCCACTAGCTGTTCGAATGGGTTTAGCACGAAGCTTAGGCAACAAAGTTTTCTTGTGTTCACTAGGTACAGCAGCTATAATATCCACAAGTCTGGGCGAGCTATCTAAACCATACTTCGAAGAAATTCTAGATTTCATACGATTCAAGTTCACATCCTTGCCTGCGTCATGAGCAGCAACTAATTCTTGGATAATTCCTATAGTTATAACCATGCGTTCCTCGCGACTGATGTTCAATAATTCTGTAAGCAGTCAACGTAATCATTAGGTCCAGAAGTAGATCTTATTAAACTCGAACACAATTGAATAAGAAAAATTTACTTATTCTTTTAATACTAACAAGCAATAATGTATTTAATTGAATTATTAAAGTAAATTTTTCAAATTTCAGTACTCAATTTTTGATGATAAATATTTGGAACACAATTCTAAGAGAAAATATAAATTATAGATAGGTGACTGGAATTCGACAGACACACGAAGAATTGTCGTTTATGATAAAAATGTAACTAAAAAATAGTTCATTATTGAAAATATATTACCAATTAACACGTACCTGCTTTCTTTTTCACCATTTTTGCGTAAATTTTCAACTTAACTTCTTTTCCACACAGACTTTGACATCCACAAAGGAGGTTAAGTTAGCCCAAACCACACGAGGCGCTGTTGTCATGTCAAATAGATTTATCGATATTATCGATAGTATATATGATATGTATTGCAGAAAATATTAGCTACACACATAGATAAAGAAGAGTATATAGATCGCTCTCTCGGGCCATATTTCGTTGCCACATTCCTGGTTAGTTGAAGCCCCGCGCTACAGATGGCACTAGTCGCCTGAACGGGTGCGTATAAAAAATACTATAGAAATGAACCAAAATTATATGGACCGTTTTAATTCAAAATTAAAAAAAGAAAAATTGAAAAAAAAAAAAATTTTGAAGCATTTATTTTTCACAAAAACATTCTACATTATATCTACATAGTTCTCTTTATAAACAAAGCACACATAGCATAAAAATGTACAGAAAATATACACATTATCCACAATGTATATATATATATATATATATTATATAATATATATATATATATAACATTATATATGATTATAATAGATGGTAGTAAGCTGTAAAAACTATGTGCGAAAAGCATAAAAATGTACTTAAATGTACACGCTATCCACAATGTATATATATATATATACAAATATATATATATATATATATATATATACTATATATATAGATATACATATATAGATATATATGTGTGTGTGTATATCATTTTAGCATATCAGCCTTTCAAGCTGAGCACAAAAAGAATAGAAATGTACATGAATGTATATATTATTTATATATATACATATACATATATAAACCACAATTCTTTGATTGATATTGATTCAGATCAATATATAACCAATATATATATAATATATATATATATATATATATTATATTTACATATATATTTATTTTGATTAACATTAAGTTACATAATATCTATGATGTACAGTCTCTATTTGGGAATCTTTTCTGCGCTATGTTAATGTGCATTCAAATGTTTGTTCAAAATGTCATTATTATCATTGTCTTAAAGAAAAACAACAATCATTGATATTATTATAACAGTACTTAATAGTTTTCTTATAGCATCTACAATAAGACATTTTAGAGTAAAGCTATTGACATCTCTTTCAGAATAGTCAAATGCAATAAGCAAGTGCACATTAAGGGTGTTTTATCCCTTTGCTTTTTAGAATTTTATCATTAATCATGATTATACTTTGCCTGTCATTTGACAGTTCCTGAAAATCTATACAATGTGATTCCCTTTATCATCATTAAACAACACAGATAATATTTCTTGTAATATCAAAATGAAATTATTAATACTTAAAAACTTTTCCTGTGACATAGCCAAACCTAAATTAACCTTTGCACTAGCTAGAATTTCACCATTTATTGAGAATTTCCTTTCACTTACGATTATATCATTAGTGTTTTTAGTATGTTCTCCAAACTGACTTAATATATAATTACGAGTCGTACTGTTCAATATTAGTGGGAGATCAGCAAAGATTTCAGCACATTTCAGACTTCATTCTTATTGTTTTTTCCTGTGTATTCATTCATCTCATATCAATACTTGTACACTTGTGAATGTGTTTAGTAAACCGTCTAAACATTTTACATTTGAACGTATTTTCCTTTTATACTGCTGAAAAAATCGATGTAGAATTATTAGTTATGATCCTACATTATTAGAACAAGATTAATTTATATTTAGTTATTTAATAACATACCTTTCAGAGAGCTGACAGGAATTCTCTCTGTCTATTTATAACCTTAAAATTTCTAGTATTGATATAGTTAAATGTCTCAATTATTTCTGAATTATTAAACTGTAATGAAAAATCATATCAGAATAGTACAATCAAATGAAAGTAATTCGAAGTATGCATATTAATAAAAGTACTCACTTAGATTGAAAGCCGGCAAATATTATTACTTATTTTACTTTTACTTCGTCGTTTCTCGCTGGAACTACATAATACATGCATTTTTCTTGGTATTTCTTCTTCGTTAAACAATGCACTTCGACAGCTTATTTGTTTTTTACTCTAACAAGCATTTATTATATTGTCTAGGTTATCTCTCCATGAAAAATTTATTACAATGGACGCCATGTTTAATTTAAGTATCTGTCATATGTCAAATTCGATTTCAAAGTGAAAAAAAAATAAAAAAAAAAAACAAGCGCGACCGGCGGCAGGGGCTCTAACTAAACTCGGGTTACAGACGTTTGTTCCGAGATTACCGGCCATGGCTACACATTTATCTTGAAAGAAATGAAGAAATTCAATAAATACCAACACAAAAATAACATAATGATATGCCAACTGGAATAAAGCCTTGAAACCCCATTTCACTTGATATCAATCAACACGTATCAAGCCGAGAAATATTTACTGTGTTGCTGTGTACGAATATAAACTAGCTGTAAGTGGAATTCTGTCTTAAGGCAATTAAGGCATCGTGCATTAAGGCAAATTGCTGGAACTTCCCATACCGCAATTCAAAATTCGAGTAATTAAAAATAATCAATAATAATAATCAATAAAAGTTGATCAATGATTTGAAACTTTTAATAGAATTTCGAACCATATTAAATCATTCTATCTTACAATTAGATCATTTATTTTGAAATATTTTGCAAATTCTGAACTTTTTTTCAAAGCAATCGTACTACTTTAACTGCATCATGGAGACGAAATATCAAAGCGCATAAGCGCATTATCTAAGCGTACCATAAACATTGGTACGGAACCCATAGGAATGCAAACAAAATTTATACTTATTGTTAAAATTTCTATAAAATATCTAATTATTTGATGTGCATATGCCTAATGTTTATTTTTGACCGCCAAATGGCTCATTTTTTTACTTTTCCTCCATATCTCCGAAGTCGTTGCACCTGCCTCTCCAAAAATTTGAACAGTTCTTCACTCAGTTAATATAAATCAAATATTTTCTGAATTATTCAAATCGGACGCTACGTTCTCTTAAAAACAGAGCCCTTTCGGCTTTTTTGCCCCATATCTTCGGAACGGCTAGACCTGCCTTCGCCAAAAACTAATCAGCACGTTTCCTTGTCAATATGAATCGAATGTTTTTTGAATTATCGCTTCATCCGTGTTCCCGAAATCGTCAACGAAAATTTGTATCCGCACATACAAAGACAGACGCACACACACACATACATCCATTTTTTCTAAGGTATGCCAAAATATTCAGAAACCTTTGAAACGTAAAGATATATCAAAATTTTCATTTTCGATTTTTTTGCGATTACTATAACTTGCCCTACGGGAAGTTAATTATAATATAAATATAAAACTAGTGGGGCACATGGCATCTTGCCGTAAGGCAAGTTGCTGGAACTTCCCGTTCCGTAATTAAACATTCGAAGAATAAAAGAATCAATCAACAAAAATGTCTATGGATAAATATTATAACTAGTTGGTATTGGTATTTTGCCTTGAGGCAAGTTACATGAACTTCCCTATATGTGTAAATAATCGACTTAATCCATGATATATAAATTAATTTATGAGTAGTTAAAAGTATTCGAAGTGAATTTATTACACATTATTAAAAATCGAACACGTCAACCCGGGTCGGAACATTTTTTAAAAGCAAATTTTCAAAAATCAATAATTTTTATAATTGAGCCAGTTTTTGTAGGACTTTAATTGTTTAGCATGTTCATTAAGACCAAGTACTCTATCGTTACCACGTAAATCGTTTAATTTTAATTTTAACAAATGTCAAAGAAATTACTCATTTTTTCAACCTTTGATAAATTTTTAATATTAAACTACTTGTCGTAAGGTCGTAATATTTCAGTAGTTCTATAAGATCATGATATACATCGCCAAAAAAAATTCCATAAAAATCGGCTTAAATTTTTTTTCAACAGTTAATTAGAAGGAAACGGCTCGGTAGATTTTTACCTAAAACTAATCAGTATCATTCCCAACTAGTATTTTTCGAATAGTTTTTGATTTTTTAAAATCGATTCGGTAGTTTGTATGTATATTAGGGTAGTCCTTAATATGAACATTTTCGAAATAAAGGTTTATATATATATATATATATATATATATATGTATATAAATTATATTATAAATAATTATAAACAAAAAAAAACTAGCACAGGATTAATAAAACCCTTGAGTAAAGGCATTTCCACTTTCAGAAATAGAACTATATAATGCAAATGAAAATATTACAAAGATTGTTAATCTTAGCTAACATATCAATTTTTTTTCTAATATTTTTTTCTATAACTCATATATACAAATATACTTCATTAACAGAAATGTTTCAATATATAAAAATATTTGAAATGTATCAAAAGTATTATTACACTAAATCATATTTTGAAAAGTTTTATTAAAGAATACAACATCTGAGTCAAGATTTGTTTAATAACTATTAATAAAAATGAATGAATGTAATTCAAAACTGGGATTAATTTGTCTTCAACATTCATGTTTTTAGACACGAATATTTTGCAATATTATATTATATCAAAATTGTGGATGTGCATGAGATTATTTTTGGCAAGGCTGAAGAAGATAACAAAGTAAGTCTTGTTCTTGGTCTTGGTCAATAATAAATGAATAATTAATGCTATTTAAAACTAGGAATAATATATGTCTGATATATAAAACACAATTTGACATGTTTTTATTTACGCATAATATATCAAAAATTCTTTTAGCTCTGATTTGGCAACTGATTAAATTAGTTAAATCATCCAAAATTCAATTTGCCAATTATTAAAATATAGTAGTTCTTTATTAAAAAATATAAAATTACAGAAAATCACTAAAAATTGCACAGAGCATAATTTAAAAAAATCAATAATTTTGGTATTTTTGTTATCTGGAACAGAATATAGAAATTGTAAAGCGCTTATACTGTCTTGAAAAAAAAACGCAAAAATTTTAATTACTTAATACAGCATTTAATCAAACATATATTTTGAAAAAAATGTAATA